ACTAAATAAAAATTGTACGGATCGTTGCTCAATGCCGATAACTCCGATGCATTCATGCTAATCAGAAATGGAAAAAATCGGCCGCGCCCATCTAAACCTTATAAATAATCAAATTTTGCATTTTTTCGCTTTTTTAACTTTTTTTTCTTATTACTGATAAACAAGGTAAACAAGACTAAAATTACTCTCTACATTCTCTGTTCACGAACATACATTGTATTTAGTTAAAAAAAAAAAAAAAAAATTGAACACGCCCACTCGTTGTTGTAAAATGCAAAAATGTAGTTAGTTTAGTTATTAATTTTTTCACTTATTATTCGTAGGTTACAGTGGGAAGAGCATCAATCAATATACGTTATATAGATAGTTTATTCCAAAAATGGAAAATATGAAATATGAGTCCAGTCCCAGTCGCATATGATTTTCTTAATTGTTGTTAATTGTGATAGGATTTCGAATTCGGTTAGCCCTGCCTTTTCGTTGATAAAACGCTGTAATCCTCTAAAGTACAGCGGTGTAATATTTTGAAAGCACGTGGGCTATTACTTCCAAACGTCCAAACGTCGTCGTTCGACGCAGGCAAGATTCATCTATGGCGATGCCCACGATAGTTAAAATATATATGAAGAAACATCGCAGAAAAAAGCGATTAATTTCAAAGAGGATTTAGAAGGTCCAGGCGCATGGGAAACGTAAACAGTACAAGCATTTACCTTATCGGTGCTATGCTGCCCTCTCATGAAGATTGTGCTTTTACTTAAAGAAGATCACTCTTTGTATTCTATAAAGAAATAAATGAATTGTAATGGACGAAGGGACGGAACGTACCCTACTACAATTTTTCATTCACTAACTTTCTGTTTTGTTTTTTTTCACTTTCTCGACTTAAGTACAAGGCGCACGCTTTCGTTGTCCTTTCGACGAATTAATCTCTTTGTTAAATTTTATAATGGGATAAGTGCTTCTTTGCACTCTTGAACGTTCGTTCTCGCTTGTTGGAGCCCTAATCGCTAGTAACGGACGCCATTATAATAACATCTTATGGAACAGGAGTATAAAGATCATTAAAGTCGCATCAGATTGCCGTATATTTTGATCCCGTCCAAGGAAACGAACGCATAATGTAAACTGTATTCAGTAAACACCGTAGGGGTAATATTCTGATTTGGATTGGTTTTTGCTAGTCTCGATTATTGAGGGCAGAATATGTAGGTTCTACTACATCGAGAAATGCAATGGAGCCGTCCACTATTTATGATTTTGTACTGAGCATGGGCTTCTAAATCCCATGTGTCAGAAATTTCTCGGAAGCATGGATTACAGATGCCAAGCTGTAGTGGGTAATTTCGGATAAAGCCTAATATATTGAGTGGGTGACGAAGATATCATCATTAGTTTTTAACTACTATTACCTTATTTAGCCCAATTTCTTGCAGGTAAGAAGCTTTAGCTTTATGCTTTTTTTTTTTCCTTTTTTTTATATATATGTCCAAAATTTTTAAATTTATTCTCACGGTGGTGTTATCTATGTGTGCAGGAGTGTTTATCTATCTATCTATTGAAAATTCCACTTGAATGCTTTTATTAGAGCAATCGCAAATGCAAGTGTGAGTTTGAGTTGTCAATTAGCATCTGTACGACAACAGATCAACAGAAACGGGTCGTGAAGATTTCCTTCTATTTTTGCTATAATTCGCATTAGTCCGTCTCATTTATATGATGATATTGCTATCGTTTAGAGGTTAAATTTTGATCTAAATTCGTTTTCTTCTTCGTCGACCAATAGCAATCGTTGCTAAAAGATTTGGAACCTTGGATCATACGATACCCACATCTTTTTAAGCCAGCACAAAATCAGATCAATTGAAGGCCGATTTTATCGATTAACTTTCTAATAAACTCGTGGTTATCTATGGTTCATATTTTTTAGAAAAGTTTCTCTTCTTATCACGGACTATAACCATTTTGATCATTTTCAATGCATCTGTCTTAACCTAAAAATGAGAAGTGAAGTTGTCTTTCGACAATCGACAATTCCTTAGTATTTATTGCCAAAAAGTTCGTATAAGCTCTCATACTCGCCTACACATCCTGATCCGTGTCTTTGTACAGTTGTATTATGTGTTATCTGATACAACAAATGAATGATGAGTTGAATTAAATAATGGACTTTGGGCTTCCGATTCGGTAAATGCAAAGTTCCAATATCATACACGTTATATACAATACATTATATACATATATAATAATTATTGTTATTATTAAATATAGACAACAATAACAAGACAAATGGCTACAATTAAATTATTAAGTAAATAACAAAATTACATTTGGCTGTAAACGAATCTTTTAAATCCCAACACGTTTCTCTTAAAGGATGTCCTCAGTTTATGTTGCACTGTAGACGTGTCCTTCTCTTGACCCGCTATGGGTCATTTTCATGACCGCACTAAATTAAATTTAAAATCGATAGCAAACGGACGGACGGACGGACGGGTAAGTTTCATGATCAAAAATGTGCATATATCACATGGGGTCTCTGCTAACCTTCGGTGATCGATATAAAAACAACAAAGCATTCTTTTACTATTTGAAACCCGCTAATACCGCGTTATAGATAAGAGCGAGAATCAAATGTAATATATAGTAGACTTGCAGTACAGCGAACATGTTTCAAAAGATGATCTGAGACATCCGTCACAATAATAGACAATTATCTGTTTATTGAATACATAAATATGTCGTTGTTGTTCAAACCTAACGGAAAATCCTATTTCATGGAAAAAAGATTAAGTAAACTATTGTATGCATAATATACAATAATATAAGCAATCTTTTGATTCATCGCTAAAGTATCGATTGTACACTACTACAATTGTCATTTCGCATATGCATGCGGGAAATACGCGTCATGGTTGACTACAACACTACACTAAGGTATCCTTTTGCAAAATGGAGTGAATCGAAATATTTCCGTCGCCTTGTCCGCTGTGGCGCTCCACCAAGTTGAATGAAATGTGGAATATTTTCAAGAGAGTCTTTAAATTAAAAATTAACTTGGGCACACACAACACACAAACATATTTTTTGGATTCCATACGAATTAAAAGGTTTTTTTTTGCCCCCCTAGAAAGCAAGCTTTATCTGCCAATAAAGTAGTTATCGTAGTCTATGATGAAAAGAAATGAAAAATAATTAAAATTCTTGAAGAGAAAATTAAATTTTTTTATTAATTTCGACCGTGTCACTTGACATTCTAAGTGCCAATCCAATTGTAACCGTTTAGTAAACCTTTTCACAAAGAACTTGCAAAACGAAGCCGATTGATTATAAGCTGTATTCGTTGTCGACTTCTCTATTAAAATTACGACTATAGCTCGTACTACTTTGATGACTTTATTTACAAAGAATAAATTTAAATTTAAATTTCTCGTTTCGCTCATGTCAAGGTCAAAAGAATGATAAATCATATAAAAAAAAACAAAAGTATCGGAAAGTCAAGTTCAATTTGTAACTTTTCCGAGTTCTTAGACGCAACACCACACAACTGCACGACGAGAAAAGGAAGCGCTCGAAAGAATTGGATCGAGCGGAAAGCTTCCAATTGCTTTTGTGCATTTACAAGAAATGACAAGATGACACCTTAAGGATATGAGCAAAGTGCTCGCTCGCTATATAAGTCGATCGCGGCAATGGCGAAATTTGAATTGTCACCCGCGACTTCGTTTTGTCGAGATTTGATATCTTCCCTACTCCAAGAGAGGAATGCTTTGTATCACAGGATGAGATCGTGTGAAAACTGAAACGTATTTTGTGTTTGTGTCTTGGCAAAAACTTTCTACACCAAACACACCTAAATATGCTAGAGAAGCATTGCCGATGCCGGTGGTGATCTGATTGATGATGAATTTTGAATTGAATTTTGCAAAAAGATATTTTTGTACCTTATCCCAGGATTTATTGACCGTTGTATGTGTTGTTAGTACCATATTTACGTTTGCTAAAAATCTGCGAGAGCCTAATAATTTCAAATAATTCCAAATAAATTTTTTTCGCTGCGTTGATGATAATCATAAAAAAAAAAACAAAAAAAAAAAAATTCGTTCCAAGCTGAGTATATTGCTTTCTTCATGTTTTGATGTTTTCATTTTGAACATCTAAGATTACTTATATTCGATCGTGACCGAATCTTTTATACCCATCACCATTATCCTAAAAATTGGCAAAATAAAATAAATAAAGAATTAAACGAATTAAATTTTCATCCTCTACGAACAATATAGAGTGGGCGAGATTGATTTATTCTATTTTCAAAATAAAATTTTTTTTTCCCATAGGCGTGTGGAAATTGTAGGCGTGTCCTTTGAAAAGTACTTTTAAAAATTTGTAAGCGATGTCGTCTTTATTCTCACTAAAGGGAGAATCTTTACCGTAGCTAGTAGGCAGTTGAGCAAGCGCACAAATGAATAGAGAGACGCTTAGGTGCATTCGAAATTTGTGTACTTTATCTTGGTTTGCGAAGCTCGTTTCTACGCTTTATAATGGTATCGGGAAAAAAAAAAGTTAAATTTTGAAACTCTATAATATTGCAAGAGACGGGGGATAGACAGACATGCTTATAATGATTTAAAAATTGATGCTCATCAAGAATATATGTATACTTTGTGGATGTGGCTGGCTTTGATGTTTCGTTCTGGGCATGTGCCCCTCCTCATACTCATCTTTTCATCGTTCGGTGATGAGTATAAAAATTAATTTTTATAACGAAACAGATGCTCTTACCTGTTCTCTGTTATGAAAGTCTTAATATATGTTTCTTTCATATTCAATTCAAATTAAGTCACACTTACCTAAAAGTAAAAAATAAAAATAAAGAGAAATAATAGATTAGCGTTGAGAGAAAAATTCAAATGTTTTTTTTGTTTTGTTAAAATACTTAATGTAAAATTATCTTTAAGCCAAAAATTATGTATAGAAAAAATGAATTCCTTTATTTTTACCTAAAATATTTTTAAACTTATGCACAACTTTTGTCCAACTAACACATGTGGTCGTGGAAGATTTTGTTAAACTATTTTGAGACTCCGTTGATTGATGTTTTCCGATCGCTTTCACTTCGTCTGCGCCACCAAACACAACAACCTCAACATTTTTCTTACAATTATTAACATCATTATTGGCGGTGGCCTGGCGGCTATGGCTGCTATTATCATTATCATCACCATCATCATTGTCGCGATTATTAGCTTTATTTTTTCTTACATGACTAAATTTTTTATTATTTGTATCACAGTGAGTTGCAACAAAATATTTGGACTTATTGGTTGAATGATAGATATTGGTAACATCAGCGAACGATGGATCGTCTTCTGTTGTAAGAGTTATGTTGCGTTTTCCTGTAGTTCCTGTTGTTGTTGTTGTTGTTGTTGTTGTTGTTGTAGTTGTAGTTGTAGTTGTCGTTATCTGATCTCTTTTTTGATAATTCTTCGTTCTTAACTGTTGTTGTTGTAATTTCAGTTCTTTCTGCTTTTGTTTTCGGGCGTATTTTTCACGCAGCTTAGGACTACCAAATTCGTCTAGATAGTACATGGTGTCCTGCAGGCCGTCCTTTTTATTAATCAATTTAGGATTTATGAAGTGCTCCTCACTGATATTAAGCAGAGGAAAGCGATAGTGGCCGTCAGTGGCTAAAACTTGTTGTTGTTTAGATGAAAAGGATGATGTCAGAGTAGGCGTTTGGGGAGTTTTGACTTTAGCTTTATCTTTGAACGCTAAAGCATTTGAGTATTGTGACTGTCTTCCATTATCATTATCCGGCGATTTGATTGAACGATCCACAGTCATTTGTAGGCCGCTATCGTTGGCGTCGTCTTCGTCCTCATCTTCTTCCAAGGCAAGGCTAGTGCTATCGCCATCGTCGCATTCATCATCTCCATCCTCGAGGTCTTCATCGTTCTCATTCAGATGTAAATCTTCGACTTCATCTATGCGATCTTCCAAGCCCAAACCCAAGGTACCAGCACTGCTACAAGGCTTATATCGAGGCCGTCTAAGACCAAAACTATGTATACTGCCAGCGTAACCCGAAGAAACATCAGTTTCTGCAGATAATTCACCTGATGAATTATTTACCAATGATTCGCTGCTTGACGAAGAGCAATTATTCAATTTTAATTGTTGTTGAGAACCATTTGTTGAATCTGTCTCGCCGTCTATTCCGCTGTCTTGAGACAAAAGCTGACGATAGGCAGGCTGTTTCAATTTTTGTAATTGTGATTTGGGATGAGCCGCAACACCTTGCAAGCTCAGTGAGGTACTGCGTGATTTAAAGGAAGGTAACAAAAGTAGGTTCTTTTGCTGATAAGCCAACGAAGTGGAAGACGAAGCATTTGTGGCCACCGAAGTATTAACGCCGCAACCGCTATCTGCCGAACCGGTAGATAATTGCGTAGAGAAACGCTCTGGTATCTTAATGGGTTTACTGGTCAATGTTGCCGCAACCGCTGCTGTTGCTGTTGCTGTTGCTATTGCTTTCGTAGTACGGTTCTTGTCAGCAACAACATTTGTGTGGGCATTTGTTTGCATTAAATTTGTTGTTGCCATTAGGTTTTATTTTCACAGTTTTCTTGTTATACAATTCTTTGGTAGTTAATTGGCTTAAATCACGTTTTGAAAATTCTCGAGTTTTCTTTTAGTTTACAAACTATATGTGCACATATACATATACATATACATATATAATATATATATATATATATAGATATATATATATATATTTTTTTTTTTAATTAATTTATTTATTTATTTTTTTTTTTTTTTTTGAAAAAATGCGCTATTTTAAGTTTTATTTAAAAGATGTGTCACATTTTTGTTGAAATTTTTACTGCTCGCAAAAATTAAATCATATAGTTTAAACGAAGATTTTGGCTAAAATTGTTAAAATTATTATTATTTTTTTTTTAATTTATTTTTTTTTTTCCACTTCTTTTCGAGTTAATTAATGTACACACAGAAGAAAGGCTTTTGTTTTAAATTAAAATATAATATATAAAAGAATTTGTTTAGCTTTTACTATATTTAACTAAACATTTTTTCCCTCGTAGCTAGACGATACTGTTGTTGTCTCTCATAGGTTTCAAAATGCACTGAAGACGTGTAAAGAAAATTGTTTTGTTTTTGTTGTGTTTCAGTGTAGTAGAGTAGAAAATCAAACAACGCAAATATCACAAGAACAGCAACAACAATGAATGCGTTTTGCATTGCACACAAATACACTTACGAGAATTATTTAGTTAAGTATGTATGTGCGTGTGTATTAACATATACAAACAAATAAGAAAGAATGAGTAGGAGAGGAAAATGCCATCTATCTCCAATAAATTTATACATTTATTATTAACTATTATCAGCCCTGAGCTAAGTAAAAGTGATAAGAGTATATATATATATATATATATACATATATATATATATATATATATATATATACATATATATATATATATATATGCAGTACATGCATGTATGAGTTGTATATTCACAACAAACTGTTAAAAGTCAATATGTGCATGTAAATATTTTCTATACGTACACCGTTTTGTAGTATTTATATGTATATGTATTTTGTTAAATATTTTATGTTATGTTATGACGATTATTCTATATAATAACATCGATTCTATAGTTTTTAAGATAGAAAAGCGAAAGTTTTTTTTTTTTTTTTTTTTCTTTTATAATTGCTCCGCTTCCTGTTATTATAATAAGATATTAATTATCAGAGTAACGAAGGGCGTCGTGTCGTGTAAAGCTTTTTTTTCTCATCTCTTGTTTCTATGCATCATTCAAATATGGAAAAAAGACTTTTATGTAGAGAAGATGACGAAAAAAAAAGAAGAAGAAGAATAACAGATTTATAGATTTGCCTTTGTATGCATTTACATTATTCATACACTTCCATATAATATTTAATCAAACTTACAAGAATGCGGTGCGTATGAATAATATAAACTACATGTTGAATATTGTTTTATAATATATAAAAAAGAGCAGTGAAGAGATGAGATGAGACGAGACGAGACGAGACGAGGCGCACGCATATAATTATGTAAGCAAATTTATGATGATAAATATAAATATAAATAAATTCATTTTCCCTTTATCGTTCGCACTAAAAAATATTCTCTAAAAAATCCCAACGATAATATTTTATTTGAAGTCTTTGTTCGACTTGCGACTATTGGAATTTTTATGGGAAACGCCTTTCATTTTGTTACTAAACAGAATAATGGCGCATATTAATTTCATCATTGAGCGTAAAGCAATAAACGTAAAGAGCAGGCGGCTCCGCGTACGAATGAATTTTGAATAGTGTTTCATTTTTTTTTTAAATTTTGTTTAAATTTTTCGTAACAACAAAGCTCATAAAGAGGCGGCAAATCCTTACGTAGTTATGATGTAAATATATTACAATCCTAAACCTGTTAAGAAAGTATTGTAATGAAAAAAAAAAAAAAATGTTTTAGATAAGAGACGAAAATGCCAACATAGACATATAGACTATTCAAAATAATTAATCTTTGCTTAAAGAGAGACTAAATTCTACTAACCTACTGCTAAGTCTTTTAAGATTTAGTGGGAGCTTGTTCCAGCAACGAACGCGAACGTACAACGAACAATTTATCAGCGACTGAGGTCATTATGAAGACAATATGACTATTTGGGGATTCGTATTAGAGATCGGCTAAATTGAAATCGCCTGTAACGGAGGTCGGGTGATTGAAATTTGACTTTCAATAAGGTAAGGAATTCAAAGAATGTTCGGAAATACGACACACGAAGACACATGATCTCTGAGGCGGATATTACAGATAAACATTATAGACATTATATTATGAATGATTGAGTTTAGTTTAGCAAGATTATATAGAGAATATGCGGCAACGTTTGATTTATGGATTCTTGGAACAGAATGGCAGAATACCTCGGTCTTAAATTATCCAAGGCAAATGAACGTTTCTGTGTTAGTCTAATTTTTGTTCATTTTAAAATTGTGGAAAAACCGTGAGGTAGTAAGAATAATCGATGATGGGAAGTAAATGGAAATATTAAGTTTAATTAGCTGAATGAAGAATCCATTAAACCTTACGGCGGTGGATTTAAATAAAAAATCCATTTTATTAACGTTGGCAAAAGAGAAAGATCGATATGCGGGACATGAAGACGGCTTTTAATAAAGTAGTTATTGAACTTATTGCCGTCCAAGCTGCATAACAGATCAACAGCTTCGTGCAATAGGTTCCATATATTTTTTGAGTTCGCATTAGAGAATCGTCTTTTCTTTTTTTTTTTTTTGGAACCTATAAGGATCTTTTTCCTAGTACATAGGCCTAGAATGTGTCTGCCTGTTATCATTATATCATGAACATAGTGTTGATATGCTATGCTAAGCAAGCGCGAGCATGTTATCTCCCGAGAGTTAAGCCGGGAATTGAGAAAATTTAATAACAGAAGTTGGTAGGAGAAAGAAGTTCATGAAATAATTCTTCTGAAAAAAGATGAGTTGGTTTTTTATACAATTGTTCGAATACAACACCAAGGAAAAGTCAACCGCACGCAAGTGACTGGTCAGAGCATTTAAATCTTTTCTACTGTAATGGGTGAAAAAGGTGAGTGGTTGAATATAATCGTCTCTAATAGAGATGTCAAGAAAAATGAATGCATGTTATGTCAGGCATTATTGCTTGCTTCGAATTAGCAGGAGCTATGTGTCCACTCGTCAAATAGTAATCTATAAAGGAACTAGTAGATCAATATTGAAGACTGAAGTGGTTTGGGAGCGATATATGCTTACAGATCAAGTGGTTACGGTAGCAAAAGGACCGGATATCGAAAGATTTAAAAGATTTGAAGAAATCGTAATTGAAATCACCAACTATGGGGGCATTATCGTGGAGCACGAGCAAATCTCTGTGATCTTCTTCTGCAAATGCGCGTCAATATCTCCTCTACGAATGTAGACATCAATTATGATAACTAGCTTATATACGCCGAATATTTGAACGGAATGAGTCAGTTCGAAGGGAACATTTGAGTTGAGAAGAAAGTTGAAGTTAAGAATGCTGTCAAACAAAAGTGAACAAGTCTACCCTTAAATCAATTGATTGCAAATAAAACCACGATCTTGTAATACGAACCTGATCGGGAAAAGAATTTCGCAATAGTTGACATTGGCAATAGGTCCAAGTTTATCATTAAGCAGCGTTCATATCGATGGATAGCAAGGGCAAGGTTAATGTACTTGCAGAACTAAACACATACAAATGCATCGTACATCATATCGAATAAGTAAATAAGATATAGAAATCTAAATGAATAAATAGCAAATACAACAACTTAAATATTGCATTTTTAAATTGTAAGTAAATCAAAATCAAATGAGAAAAAAAAAAAACGAAGAAACAACGAAATAATTGAACTGCCAGATAAACCGAGCTAAGCTGAGAAGCGAAAACATCACTTGGCTGCTGTAAACATAAAAGCAAATACTGATATGAAATTTACATTGTGTTTCGGGAAAGAAAGAAAGAAAGAAAAAAAGAAGAAGAAGAACAAGCCAAAAAAGAAAGAAAAACAACAACAACAAAATAAATATGGCGGCCTCACAAGGCTGTGAGGCAAGTTCAAATTGCGGTTTAAGACACTCATCAATCATATTCGTTCATAAGGCCGTAGCAGTCGGACTGCGTTGGAGAATCGTCGTTTCCGAAAAGCGTTACCGTCGGTAGAGAACTTCAATTTGTAGAGTCTTCAAAAACATGCGTGTCGGGTGTTCTAGCTTCGATAAAACCACCAATAATATCACATCATTTTAATATAATGTGACTTGAAATAATTCTTCTTCTGCTTTTTTCAGTGATATTATGACGTTGAGAACAGATACGATTTTTATGGACAATGGACTGATTAGGTTTCACACGCGTTAAACTATTCTTCTAACGTTTTAAGATCTGCGTCAAGTTAACAGCCTCACAATATGCTTTAAAAACTTGGCATCAAAATTCTCATTGATTTGATTGGCGACAAATTGCAAATTGGTCAGGCAAGCACCGTCTGCCTTCGACACTCCCAACAATTGCACAAAAAGGCGAAAGGTGAGGGCAGGATAGTGATCATTCAGTGGCAATGTTTCTACATTCACTATGTATGTAAATTATTTTCGCATTTCATACATGACATGATTGATGACTGCAATGGAAGCGACATATCGCCTTATGCACAAACAACAAACAACAATTCAGCGAAATAAGTAGACTGGATTAAGGGTAGCAAATTAAATAGCAATTGCCCGGAAAAATTAAATTGTTTGAATAACTTGCGTCATTTTTTTACAGTAGTTTAATTAGCATTTCAGTAGATAAGCAGAAAACAACTACAGGCACTACGGTATAGGATTGTCCAATTGTTCAATCATTAGTTTTAATGAATTTATCGCGTGTAGGGTGCGGTGCGCATAGTTAATAAATAATTAATGTAATTGATTTTATTTTGAAAGTCACGTCTCCATTCTTATCCTTTGGAGGCAGTCGAAAAACTCTTGAGAGATTTCGTAAAAGCGAATCACTGAACCTGACCAAATTTACCTTCGCTCGACCATTTATCTGCCGTCTGCTATTGGACGCATAGTGCGTATGCAAGTTGAAAACGTGCACAAACCATTCGTAGTACAAACATTTACAAAAGTTTAAAAAAAAAAAA